TAAAATATTTTATATTTTCAATTTGGTGATAAAATTTTGTAATTTTAGCATTTGACGTTAAAATAGATACTGCAAAGAATATTGTACTAAAATTACACATTTGTAGTACAAACGGTACGTCCTGAAGAGCTCCTTGAATATGACTACTTTTATTGAATTTAATGATACGATTAAAAATACATAGATGTGCGAATTTTGATAATTTCGAACAAGGTGGATTCATTATGTTTTTTTTAAATCGGTAATCATTAAAATTAATCGACTGTTTCCTTTCTCATAACGTGTTAATGATTATTATATAATATAAAATGATCAATCCGGTTTGAAAAAGTAACAACATTCTTGAAAACGATTTGAAAGCGTTTTGCACGTTTAAACTATGACGAAATGCATTGAGTATCTAGAAAAGAACTAGAGGTATTTATAATTGCATACACAATTAAATTATTAGGTCGCACTTATTTAATTAATCGTAGAGATATAGTTTATGAGCGAAAACACATTTTACAACTTGTGTTAAATGAATAAAAAATACAGAACCGCGTTTGTGTCCCTGAGGAACCCCAAATTGATAAAAATTACAATTGTTAAAAAAAAACTACATAGAAACAGAAATGACTGTGTGGGGCGCACATTTGGTGCTAGAAATGTGTAATTTTCATATTTTATAAATATATATGTTTATTTTAAGAACAAATACTAAAATCGACGATTTTTATCGCCCAATTTAATTATACAGGATTTCATCAAAATTGGCACCTCGGCGTATTTTTAATACTATAATTCATTTGAATGAAAGTTGTTGTTTTCAAAGAGCTCTACAGGATGTACCGTTTGTACTACAAACATGCAATTTTAGTATAATATACTTAGAAGCATCTATTTTATTGGCCAATGATGAAATTATAAAAATTTAGCACTCAATTGAAATTATAAAAGATTTTAACCAAATTTGCATCCTATCATATTTCAGATGTAAATATGAATGAAAGTCTTAGGTCGTTTCAAGGAGCTCTACAGGACGCACCGTTTGTACTCTAAATATGCAATTTTAGTATATTATTTTTTGACACATCTATTTTAATACCAAATACTAAATTTAAGAAATTTTACCGCCTAATTGAAATTATAAAAGATTTTATCGAAATTTGCATCTTATTGTATTGTAGATGTAAATAGGAATGAAAGACCTAGTCTGATTCAAGGAGCTCTACAGGACGTACCGTTTGTACTACAACTTTGCAATTTCAGTATGTTGCTTCTCAAAGTGTTTACAAGATATAAAAAATACTAAACTATATAGTTTTTTAATAAAAAGTCAAGAATATTTGCTACTATTAGTACTTAGAAAGCACTTGGCTCTCATTAGTGTATTGTAGATGTAAAAAGGATTGAAAGTCTTAGGCAGTTTCAAGGAGCTCTACAGGACGTACCGTTTGCACTACAAATGTAAAATTTTGATATTTTGATCTTAGATATGTCTATTTTAATTACAAATGCTAAAATTGATGATTTAGTTTGCCCAATGGTAATTAAAAACGATTTTATCAAACCTTGTATTTCATGATACACATCACCTTAAATGCTAAACTTTTGAATTGTTTGCATTAGATTGGAATTATAATGCATTGAATTTGTATATTCAATGTCCTTTACTCCTTTTGCAAAATTCGAAAATTTCTGTTTCTTCCCACAATTACTATATTTTTTGTTTTTTTTTGTTTCCATTTCTGAAAAGCTGCAACATTTGTCAGACAAGGATTATTTATTTAAGTAAGTAGGTTGAAGTGACTGAGGGACTATTTTCGTCGCATTTATAGCTGCAGCTAAAACTAACTCTAAATTAGACGTGTCAGAAGATTCTAAATAGAATAGATAGTTTTGAGACACATGCAAACAGAAATATCGATAAATATAAATATCGAAACGTTAAAATTTATAAATTGATATAAGTGAAAATAAAACAGAGCTGGTGTTTTGGAATAATTGTAATTGAAGTAGATATATTAAAGTATGTTATATTGAAATTGCAAGTTTGTAGTACAGACGGTACGTCCTGTAGAGCTCCTTTTATAGACTAAGTTTTTCATTACTATTCACACCAACGATACACCACTAAGAAGCAAATTTGGCTAAAAAAATGATTTTAGGGCTCCTTGTCCTGTAGAGCTCCTTGAAACGGTCTAGAATTCTCATTCTTAATTGCCTCTACAATATGATCAGATGCAAGTTTTTTTTGTAATTTTAATTGGGCGTTAAAACTTTATAATTTTAGTATTTGACATTAAAGTAGATGCTTTAAAAGAATTTTCTACTAAAAATTGCACATTTGTAGTACAAACGGTATGTCCTGGAGAGCTCTTTGAAATGGTCTAGGACTTTCATTTCCATTTAAATCTACAATACAATAGATGTATTGAGATGAAATGAAATGAAATTTGTTTAAAATATTTTATAATTAAAATTGGGCTGGGCGTTAAAATACCTTAATTTAGTATTTGGCATAAAATAGATGCATCTAAGAATATTATATTAAAATTGCACATTCGTAGTACAATTGGTACGTCCTGTAGAGCTCCTTGAATCAGACTAGGACTTTCATTCCTATTTACATCTACAAGACAATAAGATGCAAATGTGGTAAAAATGATTTATAATTTCAATTGGGCATTAAAACTCCCTAATTTTAGTATCCTGCATTGAAATAGATGCACCTAAGAATATTATATTGAAATTGTACAGTTGTAGTACAAACGGTAGGTCCTGTAGAGCTCCTTGAATCGGACCAGGTTTTTTATTCCTATTTCCACTTTCATTTGCAACATAATAAGATGCAGATTTTGATAAAAAAAATATAATTTTAATAGGGCGTTTAAAACTCAACAAATTTAGTGCTTGATATTAAAATATATGCCTAAAAGTATATTATATTAAAATTGCATTTTTGTAGTACAAACAGTATGTTTTGTAGAGCTCCTTGAAACTGTCTAGGACTATCATTCCTATTTACATCTCCAAAATAATCATTCGCAAATTTTGATAAAATCCTCTATAATTTAAATTGGGTGTTTAAAACCGTATAATTTTAGTATTTGACATTAAAATAGATGCATCTAGGAATATTATATTAAAATTGTACATTTGTAGAGTATAAACGGTACGTCCTGTAGAGCTCCTTGAAACGATCTAAGACATGCATTCCTATTTACATCTACAATGTACTAAGACGCAAACTTGTTTAAAATAATTTCTATTTGCAATTAAGCGTTAAAACTTGATAATTTTAGTATTTGAGATTAAAATATATGCATCTAAGAATATTATACTAAAATTGTACATTTGTAGTACAAACGGTACGTCCTGTAGAGCTCCTTGAAATGGTCTAAGACTTTCATTCTTATTTACATCTACAATACACTAAATTGCAGATTTGGTTAAAGTAATT